AGCCCATTTTTGCTGTCACAGCCTGGGCAGCCAGTACCAGAGCCTGCGGCAGAAGGTAGCTGGGAGCAGAAGGGCGCTCCAGCAGCGGCATGAGGTGCTGAAGGCAGAGAACTCTGGAGGTGGGTACCAGACGCTGCCTGAGGCTCTGGGGGGACAGCGAGGCAGGGCTGGGCCCAGGGTCTGTGCTGCAGATGGGACAGTGGAGGTGGGTAGGCTGGCCCTCCTACGCCCCCTCCCTGGGCCTCACGATCCCCACTGCCACCCGACTCTGATTTCCCTCCGGCAGATGTCTCTGACCTGCAGGGCCGGCAGCTGCTGGCCGGCTTGGACAAGGTGGCCAGCGACCTGGACCGGCAGGAGAAGGCCATCACAGGGATCCTGCGGCCGCCGCTGGAGCAGGGCCGTGCCGTGCAGGACAGTGCTGAGCGGGCCAAGGACCTCAAGGTACCCCAGGTTGGGGGCAGAGGCTGGCCCACTGGCTCCCCGGGGCCCCTGCTCAAGGTCTTATCCCCATGGGGTGTCTTGGCGCTCAAAAGGGACCACTTGCCACGTGTAACAGGAAGTCGTGAGTCGTGGGGAGGGGGGCTGCTCTAGGCCAAAGACTGAGGAGGTGCCTGAGGCCTGGTGCCCCCAAGACACACCCCCAGGAAAAAGGGCTCGTGGCAGAGCTGACAACAGCAGGACTGCAATCTGAGCAGATCAGCACTGAGCTGAGTGAGAGGCCGCGGTGCCCGGCAGCACATGGGCTCTGGGGCGACAGGGCCAGCTCACTCGCCTTGACCACAGACACCGTTCAAGCCCAAACCTCAGTGTCTTCAGTAAAATGGGCTGATCCCCACTCAGGGGGCCTCGACAGGATGGGGTAAGATGAGCCGCATGAATACCATCCACTCCTCACCTCTTTTACACACACATACAGTTTCCCGGGTCCTCGGCGCCCTCCACGATGGGCGTGACCGTTCCCGGTTTACAGGAGAGGAACGGGGCTCAGAGAAGTGCCGTGGCCCTTGACGGGGCTCACACCAGGGCTGGTCTGGTTGGGGCCGAGCCAAGGCCAGAGGACGCCTGATACAGGGGTAGGGGTTGGGGCTAGGCCCCTCCATGTCCCCTCCTAAGCTGCCTGGAGTTGTACCCACCTCATTGGAGTTGTCCCCAAAGATGAGTAAAGCTGTGTGAAGTAGTGAGTATTCATCACTCGTGAGTCACCATCCACTGCGTCAGAATTCCCAGGGATGCTCATTACAAACACGGACTCCTAGGCCAGCGTCCCAGATCCCCAGTCAGGCCCCCCGGGGAGGACATCCCTGTGTGGGGGTGGCTGCCAGCTGTGGTCAACGCGAGGGGCTCTGGTCCCCACAGAACATCACCAACGAGCTGCTACGCATCGAGCCCGAGAAGGCGAGCAGCACGGCCGAGGGCAAGGCATTCATGCAGGCCCTCCCGGGCAGTGGCAGTGCAGCCCTCCTGAGGACGCGGGTGGAGGACACCCAGCGCAGATACGAGCGCCTGGTGCAGCTGCTGGACGCGGCCCAGGAGAAGTGGGTGCAGGTGGGCAGTGGGGAGGCCGGGCGGGGTCAAGGGCCAGCACCGCCCCCCAACTCCTGACTCATGTCCTCAGGGTTGACATCGCCAACCGCCTGGAGAAGAGCCTGCAGCAGGGCCAGGAGGTGCTGGCCTCATACGAAAACCAGCTGGCCCAGGAGGACACGGTGCCCAAGAGTGGCCATGCCCTGGACAGCAAGAGGCAGGAGCTGGCAGTGAGTGTGGGGACCCTGGGCTTCAGAAGCCTTTCTCTGAGTTGGGCATGGGCTCCAGGCGCCCCTGCCACCCCACCTGTGGACAGTCGAGGGGCCCGAGGCCCAGGGCAGCAACTCTCTCCGGGTTTGGAGTCCCAGCCGCCCACGGGGTTTCTGTGGCCTGTGGAAATCAGGTGCTGGTATCTTAAAATCGAATGTCCACATAATCCCCCCAGATTCCCAGTGTCTCTGGACAAGCAGATCTGGTCACCTGGACCCACATGCCTGCACGGCGCATCAGCTGAGCACGGGAGCCTCTGCCCCAGCCCAGCATCTGCCCTCTTCACCATTGCCGCTGGGACCGCTCTAAGCATTGGGGTCTGTGAGCCCGTGGGAGGCCCCTTATTCACAAACCACCTCACAAAACCCTTGCCCTTGTGGTGAGGGCCTCACCTCAGAGCCCAGGAAACAGGCTCAGAGACCAGAGCCTTCACGAACTTCACTGGACTTCACTCCAGTCCCGGGCACGGTGTCACAGGCACGTGCCGTGTTTCGCAGGGTTTTAGAAGCTAGTTTCCCCAGGGTATTGGTCATTGTAACAAAATGGAAACTGCAGAAATGACCACGGGTTTGAGGAGAAACTCAAGAGGCAAACCACCGGTCCCCGCCCAGGTCCAGGCCTGCCACCCGCTAAAAGCAGGCAGCCCCAAGAGCTCTGGGTAGCACCATCCCGGGCCCTGGAGCTCTGGCCACAGCACCTGCCATCTGCCTCTCTGCCCCGGCAGGCCATGGCCTCCGAGCTGCAGGCCCGGCAGGCCCTCCTCAGCGAGGTGGAGCAGAATCTGCAGGCCGCCAAGCAGTGCTCTGGCTCGCTGGCCAGCCGCTTCCAGGAGCACTGCCCGGACCTGGAGCGCCAGGAGGCCGAGGTGCACAAGCTGCGCCAGCGCTTTGACAACCTCTGCCAGCAGGTGGAGCTCAGGTGAGGGGACTGCAGGGGCCCTTGGCTTAGTCTGCCTTAAGGCACCCAAGTGGGATTTCTGCAGACAACACTGAAGGCTGTTTGATTTCTAAATAATTTTCTCTTTCTGAAAAAAGCAGTATATATACAAGATAAAATACACAAAGGGATTATAATGACCAAACCCTTCCCCCAAGATCAGCACTGCTACCAGTTTCTTGTGTGTCCTTCCAAAAACATTCTGTATGAGCTGGGGTAGGTAATTAATGTACGAATGACAACACACCACATACAGTGTGTCTTGCTATTTTCCCTGTCGTATATTTTCCCAGCCTGATGAGTCAGTAAGTGTTCCCCCCTCCTCTTCTGTTTTCTGGAAGAGTTTGTGTAGACTGGGTATTAATTCCTTAAATGCTTGGAAGAATTCACCACCGAAGCCATCTGGGCCTGCAATTTGTTTCTTTGTGTGTAAGAGGGTTTTTAACTACAAATTCAACCTCTTTAATAGATATTGGACCATTTGGGTCATCTAATGCTTGAGCAACTTCAGAAGTTGGTGTCTTTCAAGGACACATTGTCCATCTCATCACGTTGTTGAGTTTATTGGCATAAAATTGTTCGTAATATTCTCTTACCCTTGACTACCTGCAGGGTCTGAGGGAATGTCCTCGCTCTCATTCTTGATGTTGTATTTTCTCCTGTTGTATCCGTTTATCCTTCTTGTCCCCCTAATCATTATGCTTGAGGTTTATCACGTTACTGACGGTTTCAATGAACCAGCTTTGGTTGCAGTGATCTTTCTCCTGTTTTCCTGTTTCCTGTTTCACTGACATCTGCTCATTATTATTTCCTACTGCTGCTTACATTAAGTCCACTTTGCTCTTCTTTTTCTTTCTTAAGGTAGAAGCTTAGATTGTTGATTTGAAAGCTTTCTTTTTTTTCTTATCTAAGCATTTAAAACTACATACTTCCCATTAAGCACTGCTTTTGTTGTGTCCCACAAATTTTGATGTTTTTATTTTCAGTGAGTTCAAAAGATTTCCTCACCTCCCTTGTGATTTTCCCTTGGATCCATGAGTTTTTTAGGTCCTAGAATTCACAGTGGGCATCCCTGTGAGTCCACACAGGCGGGCCTTCCTGCGCTTTACAGAGGCCTCACAGTATCCCAACACAATATTCCATAATTTATTTAACTACTCCCGTCCTGGTGAACGTTTAGGTTATTTCCAGTTAAATTACTTTTGATGACCTCTTTAAAAAGGGACGGCAGGCAGCTCTCAGTGAGACCTGAGAGCTCAAAGGCCTGACGGGCTTTGCCCCACAGGGTCCAGAGCCTGCAGAGCACCCGGGCTGCTCACGACGCCTTCTATAGTGGCCGCGACCGCCTGCTGCAGTTCCTGTCCCACATCCCCAGCTACGAGCCCCAGGAGACAGACGGCCTCGGCCAGATGGAGACCAAGCTGAACAACCAGAAGGTGAGAAGGCCACTTCCGCGTTCACAGGAGGATGGTCACAAGGGGGGTCAGAGGTTAGCAAGCCCCTTCATGGACGGGGGCCTGGCAGCGGTCCTGACCAGGCGGGCTCCCAGCACCCGAGTCTCTGACAACAAGGACGGGGTCTCCCTCACCTCTCCGTCCTTAGTGCCCAGCACAGGGCCTGGCCCAGAGTGGACACTCCATGCAAGCCAGCTAAATAAGCAAATAGCTACAGGGACACAGGGGAGCCCTCGGGGAAAAACCCATTTCCAAAGCCCAGAGTGCTGGCTCCCCAGAAGGCAGCAGGGCCTTGGGGTGAAGGACGAGGAACAGGAAGCCCAACAGCCTGGTCTCAAATCCTGCTCCCACCCCCATTAGCCATGCGCCCACGGGCCAGTCACTGCGCCGCACTGTGCCTGGGTTTCCCCGTTCATAAACAGGAGGTGAGGACGGTGCCTACCTCACAGGATGTTGGGAAATTCAGTGAGATAATCTAAGAAAGATACTAGAACAGTGCCTGACATTTCGATGCACTCAGTAAACACAACTTTCCTGCCAAAGATGATTATCTCCTTGGCCCTTCTTCACAGGGCCTTAGAATTGCCTTTTGTAACAAACAAATGTAAACAGGGAAGCCATTCCTTATACTTTGTGCTACGGAAGAATTCCAGACTCCAAGGAATCCAGCTACTCTATCTAGGTTTTGGATTTTTTTTTTAATTTTTGGTTTTCAAAGTCTCTGTTGTTTTACAGAACCTGCTAGATGAGATAGCAAGAAGGGAAGAGGAAGTACAGAAAGTCTACGCCCACTCCCAGCAGTACCAGCAAGCTGTCAAGGTGAGACGTGACACCCTGCCCAGAGTGTAAAGCAGCAGGGCCTCTTCCCACCAGCTGGTCCGGCGGGGTGTCCTCAGGCACTGCTGGCGGCCACACAAACCGGCACAGGCCTTTGGGAAACAAGATGGTACTGGGCATCGAATACCAGAGAAGGATTTTCTACTGTAAAGCAGTAACTGGGGGAATTTATCCTAAAGGAAAAAATATGAAATAATAATAATGTGGGATTAACAAAATCATTGTACAACAGAATTATTTACAATAGCAAAACAGACAAACTAGAAATAACCTAAATGTCCAATAGCAGAGGAACAGCTAGTAAATTATCACCTGACCACACAATGGATGTTAAAGTCATCAAACTGATCCACAGGAGGATTAGGAGGAGGCAACATGAGAAAAGCCATAACTCTTATGGTACAGAGTTCAATGAAGAAAGCAGAATGCCATGGTCTCTAGGCCAGGGAAGGCCTGGAAGGAGCATGCTTTGGGGACGGAGGGGGATTGTGGGCCTACTTTTTCTCGTCGCACATGTTATTCAGGGATGTAGGTACGTACCACTGACGGATCTATGGTTCTCAAAACCTCCTGGCAGGCAGAACAGGGTGTGGCTGAGCAGAAGACCTTTGCAGTCAGCGGGAAGGGGCACAAGAACATTTTGGTCTCACCTGCTCTTGTCTGCCCTCTGCCATGTCTGTCTCACGCAGGACTACGAGTTGGAAGCAGAGAAACTCAGGTCCCTCCTTGACTTGGAGAATGGAAGAAGCAGCCACATGAGCAAGAGGGCCAGGCTCCAGTCCCCTGCCACCAAAGTGAGGGAAGAGGTGAGCTCTGCAGGCCAGGCCTTCTCGGGGTTCTCTCGCTCCAGAGAGCATGGCATGCAGGCCTCAGAGACGCACACACAATAGGGAAACTGGCCCAAGAGCCCTCCTGGGTGCCAACAGGTTCAGTAAGAGGAGATAACTTATTCTGGGGTGGTGACATTGATATGCCTAGAAAGACAGCCTGCTGGGTTTATCTGAGCCAGAGCCACGGACTCCCCCTGCTCCCCCTAAGTAAGTACACAAACACAGAGGGCCGATGTTATCGGCTCCTTCTATACACGAACACGTTAAGGCTCAGAGACAGACCTGCTCAAGGTTACTTGCTGGGGGTTTAGGCTTCTGACTCAAAATCCAGTTTTCTCTCCTATAGATGAGACTGTAGTAGAACTCCAGGTAGGAAGGGGCAAGAAGGTTCCCTCTCTCCCCAAATGCCAGACTTTGCAAACACCGTCCAGCTTACCTTCGCTTAGTCTGTTGACTCCTATCTGCTCTCCTGTAGGAAACGGCTCTTGCTGCCAAGTTCACGGAAGTTAATGCCATCAACAGACAGAGGCTGCAGAATCTGGAGTTTGCTCTGAATCTCCTGAGACAGGTAATGGATCTCAGTAAGGCATTCTACTCAAAACTATCCCAAGAGCTGAGAAATAAGACTCATTGTGCCTCAGAGAAACAGCCTGTGAACCAGTGGGCATGTCCCCCTGCGAACAGGGTTGGGTGGCGCCAGTGCAGATGCCAGCCCACACCTGTGCCCCTGTGGACATGAGTCCAACCTACGTGTCCCATCCCTCAAACATTTGCTGAGTACCCAGAAAAAGGTAACTTATTTTTAAAAGCCCAAAACGTTAACGACAACATTGTAATAGTTAAGAAAGTGGAAGCAACTCAGTATTCACCAGCAATGGGTGTGCGACTGAGCCAGGGTCTGTCCACACAATGGAAAATGACGAAGCTGTCACACGAGGTAGCACTCTCTGTGCCGCTGCAGATTCTCTCATAAGTGCAACAAGCAGGGTGCAGAACAGGCAACACCGTTAGTGTGGAAAAAATAAATACGTGTCACATGCAAAAATATACGTGTCTCAAAGGTGACAGTATCCTGTACGAACAGGACCAGCGGTGACAGACAGCCTCTGCTTCACACTCTTCTGTGGTTTTAAAATATTTTCCCGGATGCATTTAAACTAGTTGTTTTACCATTTTCAAAAGGAAGCCTAGGACTCTAGTGAACCCGGTACTGAGGGGGTCCCCTAGGGACCGCAGGACAAGCAGTCTGACCTCTGGCGGGTGGCCAGGTGGGGTAGGGCCATGCAAAGTCTGGCATTAACCCTGTGCTATCTTCTCCTTCCCAGCAGGCTGAGGCAGGCATGAGCCATGAGGCCCTGCCCAGGGGCAAGCCGGGCTCCGGAGTAGAGGAGACGTGGAAAGTTCAGAGGGAGCTGGATGAGGAGGCGGAGCGGAGGCAGCAGCTGGAGAATGAGGTCAGGAGAGCCCAAGAGGAGATCCGGACCCTGCAGAACCAGAGCCCACAGGAAGCAGTGGTGAGGAAGGTGCTCAAGAAGGTGCCAGACCCCATGCTGGAGGAGAGCTTCCGACAGACGCAGCAGACCCTGGTGGAGGAGCAGCACAAGAACCAGCTGCTGCAGAAGGAGCTGGAGGCGCTGCAGCTGCGGCTATGCGCCCTGGAGCAGGAGGCCAGGGACGGCGGGCAGGAGTACATGGTCAAGGAGGTTCTGCGCATCGAGCCGGACCAAACCCAGGCCAACGAGGTCCTGAGGCTGCGGGAGGAGCTGGAGGAGCTGCGGCGGCAGAAGGGCACCCGGGAGGCAGAGGCGCTCCTCCTGCAGCAGCGCATCACAGCCCTGGCCCAGGAGAAGAACCAGGTGCGGGAGAAGGTCACCGAGAAGGATGTGGTGAAACTGCAGAATGACCCCCAGCTGGAGGCAGAGTTCCGGAAGCTGCAGGAGGACCAGCAACGGGAGCATCAGCTCAGGGAGAAGCAGGAGGAGGAGCTGCGCTTCCTCCAGGACAAGCTGAAGAGGCTGGAGAAGGAGCGGGCCATGGCCGAGAGCAAGATCATCATCAAGGAGGTGCTCAAGGTGGAAAAGGATGTGGCAACCGAGAGGGAGGTGGGTGACCTCAAACGCCAGTATGAGGACGAGGCCGCCAAGGCTCGTGCCAACAAGAGGGAGAAAACGGGGCTGCTCCGAAAGATCTGGGCCTTGGAGGAGGAAAATGCCAAAGTGGTCGTGCAGGAAAAAGTGCGGGAGATCGTCCGGCCAGACCCCAAGGCAGAGAGTGAGGTGGCCAACCTCCGCCTGGAGCTGGTCGAGCAGGAGTGCAAGTACCGGGGGGCCGAGGAGCAGCTGAAGAGCTACCAGAGCGAGCTGGAGGTGCTCCGGAGGCGGGGCCCCCAGGTGGAGGTCAAGGAAGTGACGAAGGAGATCATCAAGTACAAGACTGACCCCGAGATGGAGAAAGAGCTTCAGAGGCTCAGGGAGGAGATCATCGACAAGAGCAGACTCATCGAAAGGTGTGACCTGGAGATCTACCAGCTGAAGCAGGAGATCCAGTCCCTGAAAGAGGCCAAACCCCAGGTGCAGACCAAGGAGGTGGTCCAGGAGATCCTGCAGTTCCAGGAAGACCCCCAGACCAAAGAGGAAGTGGAGTCTCTGAGGGCCCAGCTGTCACAGGAACAGAAGAAGCAAGTGGATCTGGAAATAGAGAGGGCGTCCCAGGAGGAAAAAATCAAACAGAAGGAGGAGGAGCTTTCCCAGGTGAAGGAGAAGATGGTCCAGCAGGAGGTCGTCAGGTACGAGGAGGAGCCGGGCCTGCAGGCCGAGGTGAACGCCTTCACCGAGAGCATCGACGCGGAGCTGCAGCAGATCGATGGCCTCTGCGGGGAGCTGCAGCAGCTACAGCGCAGGCGAGCAGAGCTGGAGTGCCAGCTGGAGGAGCTGGAGCGCGAGCGGCAGACACGCAGGGAGGCCGAGCTGGAGGTACAGCACCTGAAGCAGCAGCTGGCCCAGATGGAGGAGGGGGAGGCCCGGGAAAAGGTGACCCTCAAGCAGAAGGTGGTGCTGCAGCAGGACCCCCAGCAGGCCCGGGAGCACACCCTGCTCGCGCTGCAGCTGGAGGAAGAGCGGCACCGGCGGCAGGTCCTGGAGCATGAGCTCAAGACCCTGAAGAAAAAGCTGGAGCACCTAGAGAAGATGGAGGTCAAGGAGAAAGTGGTCTTCTCCAAGAGCATCCAGGTGGAGAGAGGTGACACCGAGCAGGAGATTCAGAGGCTAAAGAGCAGCCTGGAGGTGGAGAGCCAGAGCAAGAGGGAGCTGGACGCAGAGGTGAGCCAGCTGGAGGCCAAGCTGTCGGAGCTGGAGTTCTGTAACTCCAAGTCATCCAAGGAGCTGGATTTCTTGAGGGAAGAGAACCACAAACTGCAGCTGGAGCGGCAGAGCCTGCAGCTCGAGGCCCGCAGGCTCCAGTCCGAAATCGAGATGGCGGTGGCGGAGACACAGGGCCTAAGGAGCATGCCGGTGGCGGCAGACCCTGGGGCGCAGCTCGACTGCCGCCTCCGGTCCCTGGAGCAGGAGCTGGATGACCTCAGGCAGCTCTCTAGAGACAAAGACCTGGAGATCGACGAGCTGCAGCGACGCCTGGGCTCTGTGGCCATCAAGCGGGAACAAAGGGAGAACCACCTGCGGCGCTCCATCGTGGTCATCGACCCCGACTCGGGCCGCGAGCTGTCCCCAGAGGAAGCCCACCGGGCTGGCCTCATCAACTGGAACATGTTTGTGAAACTCAGGAGCCAGGAGTGCGACTGGGAGGAAATCTCCGTCAAGGGTCCCAACGGGGAGTCCTCTGTGATCCATGACAGGAAGTCTGGCAAGAAGTTCTCCATCGAAGAGGCCCTACAGAACGGAAGACTGACCCCTGCCCAGTACGACCGCTACATCAACAAGGATATGTCCATCCAGGAGCTGGCCGTCCTGGTGTCCGGGGAGAAGTAGGCACGGCCCCACCTTCACCTTCCTGGAAGCAGATGCTGGCTCTCTCCTGCCCAGTACTCTCCTTGGTATCTTTTCTCCCTGGCCCCGTGCAGCTCCTAATCCGTGCAGAACCCCGTGTGTCCCCCAGCTGCTCAGAGCACAGCTCAACCACAAGCGGGACAGGCACCTGCTGAACCGTCATCCAACCAGGTGAGTGACCTGCTTCATCTCCCGATGATTCAAACCCGCAGTGCCCTTCTTCTTTCTCCTTTTCCCACACAGTCCCATAAACAGACTCCTTCCAGGTGTGATACCTGGAAGCAACTGAAAACTGCGAAAGCACACGACGACCAACAACTGGGGTGGACAAGCCCACTCCATGCAGCACTGACCTCCACACCCCAGCACGGGAAACTCTAGGGCAGAAATGCTTCCCTGCTTCAGCAAAGCAACAGCTCCCCAGGCCTGCAACCTGCATTCACACCCCTCGGGATTCTGGCTCAGCCGACTCTTCATCAGAGGCCTTCTGGGGAGACGGATCTGGGCTCTATGCCAGAAAAGGCGCAAAGAAACCAGAACAGCATCTGACCCTGGTGCTCGAATGAAGCTTAACTGTCAAGCCATACTGTCCCAAGAAAACGCACCATTGGGGAACGTTTCACGTTTTGAAATTAAAGTACTTTCCTAGTGGACTGTGTTGCTGTTAGCCTTAGATTCGGTGCCTAGTCCTGCTTATTATCTCACTGCCATTTAGTAAACTCCACAGTTGATTTTCTACCAAACAAATTTCGGGTCCTCTGTATCTCACGTATTATGTAAGAAAATGGGAAGTAATAGGGAACTCTATTTATAGTGCAAAAATAAACACCTGGTGGCTTGATTCTAATATCATGGTGTGTTTCTTCCTCTTTTGCATGTGAGGCTTAGTCTCCAACACCCTCTTGGCTTTTAGCCAAAATGAATGTTCCCTACATACCAGCTCCTATGGGAGAAAGAATTACTTGCAAATATGGTAAAAGGAAATAAATGAGAAATGATGTTTTGGAAACCTTGAAACAATTTATTGGGTGGTTTTATACAAGATTAACAATTTCCACACCACCCCCAACACCAACATAGTCGCTGCATGAAAGCCACAGCCCTTTCACACCCAAGAAACGCCGGCAAGGAAAGCCCTGCAGCGCCGTGGCCCATAAGCCCACTCCGCCAACAGACCTGCCTTGCCGTGGCTCTTTAAGTCATTCACTCTTTCGTTACCACAAATAAAGCATCAACAAGGAAAAGAAACCTCATAAACTCCCCATCAAAGAAACGTTTCCCTGAGGCAAGAGGCATCACTAGATTCCTAAGAATGAGGGTATCCTGCTCCAGCCGCACACTCAGTGGTGCTCGGGGAGGAGGGAGCACTGCAGGGAAGGGAACCAGGGTGTTCTCCTGCTGCTCAGCGTTCACGGACGGCCTCTGCGCGGCTCTGAGCTCAGCAATACAAATCTCTTCTTTGGCTCTTTTGCTACTACCTAAGACTATTCTGTAAACTGGAAACCCAAGTTGCAAAAAATAGATATAATAAAGGGATAAGGAATCCACTTAGCCCAATGTGAAACACATGTTGGTTTTTATGTAAAAAAAAGAGCACAGGCCTGGCCGACTAGCTGGCAGAGGTCTTGCTCCCCCTGGAAACCAGGCAAACTCTGTGTGAATCGTGAGTTACCAAGCGTTGTAACCTGGGAGTCAGGAACCAAGAGAGCTGCCCGTGTCTCCACACAGGCGTACATTCTGAGGAGGCTGTTTACTCTCAACGTATCACAAATCACTTAGCTAGAGCAGTCAGTTCAGACTTCACAGGACAGGCAAGTGCCGTAAAAATCTTTGTGAAGCAGCCACTGGTTGAGTGGGAACAGTGGGATGACTTGAGATCCGGGTAACTGTCCCAATCTGTCTCTGACGTGCTCTCCAAGCTCGTCAGCATGTCACCCTGAAGTCAATGCATAGCCCTGCTGCCTGGAGAGCCAGGACCTCCAGGCCTGTTTCTACAAGGCAGATGCTTCACAGAGGCCTGTTCCTGCAGCTCTGCCTGAGAATAGTTTTTAAATAAACTGGAATGTCTACCTGCGACTTGGAACCCCTCATATCCTTGGCCCTCGAAGAGATGAAGAAGGGCTCTGGGGCTCTGCAGTCCACCTGTATGAACTCTGGAAAAA